CTTTTCCAACCTTTATGATTCTATGATATAAAAATGTTTGTCATTACTGAATCTTTTCTTGGCTTTAAGTAATCTTTTCTGATGGAAGAAAGGTTTGAAGATTGCATAAAGATATACATAGTAGAAAATTTTTGTATATACTAGTGATTGCTTAAAGGTGCAGTGTGGGCATGATAATTATTATCTGTTGCTTTATTACTCATGGGCAGAAAAAGCTTACATGCTGACTCCATCTAAAAACCCTGGAAAAGAAAGAGTGCAAACTTCCAAAGCTGGAATAGAGATAGTCTATGAATATTTTTCTTAAGAAAATAATAAAAGAAAGAAGAAAATAGTTCTTCTAGTGAAATTAAACAAATTAACAATAGAGTTAAGAATTCAGTAAATGTAAGTTGCAGCATCACAGAGATTTCCCTAATTTGCCCAGATGTGATATTTTCTATTTTAGTAACTGGCTGTAATCTTTACTGTAATTAATACGTAACTCAAGAGACAAGGGGCACAGACAAATCAGCTTTTTTGTTAGGATAATATCTTTTGCATTTTTCTGTAAGTAATTTAAATATACCTTATTTGTAATACATGTTTTTAGAAAGATATGTTCTGTTAAGGTGGTAGATATTATGGGAGGAACTTACTACGTACATATGAAATAAAAATCAACAAAAGAAAAAATCTTCCAAATAATGTGTGTAATCATTTAATTCTTTTATTTTTCATAAAGACTGCTGTTCGCCATGAGTCTTGCAATGGTTTATACAAGTTATCTCTCTCTGGTCTGGATGGGGGAGACTCAATTAATCGATCCTTTCTGCTGTTGGCTGCATCAACATTATTAAAATTTCTCCCTGATGCTCAAGCTCTGAAACCAATCCGGGTAAGAATTTAAGGAATTACAAGACTTTATCAGAGATCTATTTAAATTTACTGTTGTTAATACAAAAATAAAAAATGTGAGCACATTATTGTTATGTCTGACATAATGTTTCTGATACACTGAGATGTTAATTAAGACTTTTGGTTTAGCTGCTTCCAGAAACTTCACAAAAGTAATTAAAGCTGTGACACTACAGTAATTTAGAGCTTGCCTGTGCTTGGAGAAATGCAGAATAGCATTTGCGAAGTGCTCCTGTTCTGGAATTTTAGTGTTCACATAGCACACTGATTGGGAATAACAGTTGTGTTTTCAACATATGCCTCAGTTTCCCTTTTAAATGTAGGTAAGCCTATAAAGAAATCAGTACCTTGTTTTACATACATACATAGGTCCCCTCCGTTGTTGTGGCTGAGTGTTACTGTTGTTCCCCAGTCAATTGCTGCTGTTTTTCTGTTGGACTATTATTGTCCTCACAGCTCTACTGAACAGAAGAGATTCAGTGCATGCCATCAAAGCCACTTCAGGAGGAGTTCCCACTGTAGTGTTTGGAGGTTAATAGAGATGGTTGGAACTAACCTGGATGATTTTGCCTAAAGTCAATTAGGGATTGTAGACCTAGGAGTGCATATCAGGGGAGGCTGTGCTGACCTTACCTGACGTAGCTAGATCTGAAGGAGAGCACTTGTATGGACTTCTGAATGACAGTGAAGTGTGAACCTAGATTTTGAGTCTGTCAAGCAGTTATTCTTGTGACCCTGTGCAGCATTTAATTTCAGGTGAGAGCGGTTAATTCAGTTTAAGTCTGCTTTCATTTTAAACTCTGTTAATATTAAAACCAAAAGTTAAATTAAAACAATCTACAGAAGATTTTGCATTGTTTGACTGATTTCCAAAAGAGTTTAAAATTAAACTAGTGATGAATTCAGCCAGAGTTTATCATGTTTTGTCTAGTCTTATATTGAAAATTTTACAATTTGCGGTGGTTAGTATGGAGTCAATAGTATTTTAATTTTTAAATGTCTGGCAGATCATCCTGACAATCTTTCAATAAAATTAATGAATATTTCACAAGATATAGAATACAAACTTTTCTATAAAAAGTAGATCGTGCCCTGTTACCATTGTAAAATACATTGTTCTCATACTTGGCTTATCTTAAATAGGGGCTTGTAGAAAGTAATATTCTTGTAATGGTTACTGCGTTTACTACATTTTTTAAGTTATTTTGTCTGATGTACTTGAGAACAAAAGCGATTTCTTTTCACAGATAGAGGATTATGAGGAAGAAACAGTGCTGCGACCAGGTTGTAAGGAATATTTTTGGCTGCTGTGCAAACTGATTGATAACATACACGTCAAAGATGCGAGTCAGGTAGGTTTTGCTTTGCATTCATATGAATGTTTGTTTTTTTAAAAAAATTTGGGTATTCAGACCACTTTTACTTCAGTATGAGAGATTTTTACTTAAGATATGGTGAACGGCTGTGAACAGCTCTTGGATCTTTGCTGTCTTACAGCTTCCCCTCCTCTCTGATGTGTATTTATTAGCTGTTGGCCAAAGGAAGCTTCAGGTACTGAACCTGTAGAGAAGGGGAAATGGGTATAATACACAAGGAGGGTGTACTTAGGTGAAGGTAACAGACATTTGGAATGCTGTAATTATCTATGAAATTCACTGTTGATAATTTCAATGCGGTCTAAGGAGGAGGTAATCAAGTATTTTACTAATGCTGAAAGGAAAAAAAAATCAGTTAACAACCACTTAGCACAGGTTAGAAAACTTATTCACAACTTTTGAAACATCTCTAAAGGGTTAAAGTCACCTTTTCGGCAAACTGCAACTGCTTGTGCTGGCTCATGGCCCTAAATGAATCTCTCTAGTTCATTCTCAGTATTGTGACAGGAGTGTGGGAAGGGAAGAAAGATAAAGCCTTAATTCTAGTTTCTCCAGAATGGAAAAGTCTTATCCTCTCCTACCTCTGGATGTTCCCCGTAGAGGCAGAAATTTTGCTTCCCCCCCACACCCTCTCTGCTCAGTTCCCTTCCATTTCTGTTTTATTGATTGAATCTCTTAGCTAGGCTACCATTCTGCCTACTTCTCCTGCATGTTGCTCAAGCAAGAAATGCTAATGGGACTTCTCAACTTTCTGACGACAAACTGTGTGTTCTTGTGAGAAATAACAATTAAACACTTCTCTTCAAATAGTATTATTCCATTTTTTCGGCATAGTAGATAGAGTATATTTGTGGGATCTGGAATTGAAAGAATAAATGTTACTTCATTTGAACTGTACAGCATTGATTTTGAAAACCAGTTTTATCACATTTATAAAAATGTGTTCAAATATTGTTGTGAGCGTGTTTGAAAGATAAGTTTTAATTTTCCCTGTTTTTCTGTGTGGAATAACAGTATTTCATCTGAAAATATAACCATAGTTTCAGATGAGGCTTATAAGTTGTAATTAATGAAGTACATAATTATTTCCCATTTATATTCAATTTTGTTTGTTTTTAATCAGACCACACTGCTTGATTTAGATGCACTAGCAAGACATCTTGCTGACTGCATTAGGAGGTAAGGTTTGCTAACTAATTTCACTTGTAAATTGCATTATATTTATTGTTAGTGGGACAGAGTTTTAACATTCCTTTTGTATACGTGTGTATATATAGCAGAGAAATCCTTGACCATCAAGATGGTAATATAGAAGATGATGGACTTACAGGACTACTTCGTCTTGCAACAAGTGTTGTTAAGCATAAACCACCCTTTAAGTTTTCTCGTGAAGGCCAGGTAAGAAAAGGCACTGAAAGACCACAAAGAGATCAAAATAGTGTCGTCTCTTCTTATGCTACTTTCTTCATTTCACCTTTTTTCTGCTATTTTGATTGCAGGGCTCGATATATGAGAATATATCATATTTCTAGCCTTAGGGTGATGGATAAAAACACACATATCATTCCTTATTAAAAAGTAGCATGTATGGTCCCTTCCCTTTCTAACTATATTTAATTTCAGGATAGAGTTCTTTATAAATAATTCATAAATGAATTTTATTTATTTTCTTTGATTGTCTTTAAATGTTTTTAGTATTGATCAGCATTAACTGATTTAAAAATCATTAGCAACAACTGCTTTTTGACCTTATCCTGGTACAGCTGTGATCTAAAAGTAGCTTTTAAGCTCTACATCTACACAGTGGCAGAAAACTTGTAACAAGAATACTCCATTTCATCTGTACTTGTAAGCCAGGAAAGTGGCTAGGAAGGGGAAGCTGCTAAAAAAATTATGCTTTGTGTTTGGGGGCCACATTGTCTAAAAGGAAAAAAAAAAATCATGGTGTAAAAACTGGTGGGATTTTCAACAGACTGTGCTAAGCTTATGATTGGACTTTTAGTGAGGTTTCAGGAGGAAAATAGTCCCCTGTATCCAGTTATGTTGCATATATCCTGTCTGTTACTCTGTTATAAAATGGCCCTGAAGGTAATTTTAGTGTCCGAAAGTTTTAATAATGTCCACATTATGCACCACCTAACATAAAGTTACGTTGCTGACAGCATTTTAAAAATCTGCAACTATGTAATTCTTCTGGAATAAGTGTATTTTAAGTATGGAGACCTTGCAGATCTAAATTAGAACAAGGATTTGATTCACAGACTACAGTGTGGAGGATGATGTAGAAATTAAAGTAGAAGAGGTTATGCAAAGACAAATTTACATAGGTTGGATATATGAGAAGTATAAGAATAAAACAAAATGGAAGCTTAAGTTGAAAGGTCTGATACTATACAGAATCCTAAAGTATGCTGCATGTATGCAGCGTATCACAGAGAGGCCAGAAGTTTGATTTGAAAAACAGATTAATGTGAACAGAGCAGTATCCACAACAAACTTCTCAAGAAGAGTTTGGCTTTGCTGAGAACCAGGGACTTAGTACATTTTCTGAGACTAGGTCATGATCTACTGTTATTCTTGTTTTAATTCTGTGTACAGTTAAGAACACTTATTACTTGCATATTTTAAAGTTCATTAATGAAGAGTTCTGTGTTGTGTTCGATATAATAGAACAGGATCTGAGCAAAACTTGTTGAAAAAATATCCAGGAAAATACACTGGCAAATACTGAAAATAGTTTAGACCTGCCCAGAGGATTCTGATGCTCCTCTGTGCCTTTTCTTCCCTACAGATTCCTTCTCTTACTAAGTAAACAAAATTACGGTTCAGCAAATATTGTCAGACTTTAAAGGTCACATTTTGTGACAACAGTGGATACTCATGCTACCTTCTTTGATGTCTTTTATAGATAATCACTGCCTTTCCAGAGAAATCAGGAAGAAATTTGTTTACTGTATTGGCCGGGAGAAGATCTTTCTATATTATTCAGCTATAAACATGAGACCCTGGTTATAAGATTATATATTAAGACTATAGGAATTTCCCTGCACACTAGACAAGGCTTTTTATGGTGATTTTGCTGTGTACTCTGCAAAAGGCCATTTTTTGAAATATTCAAAGTTTAGTTAGATTTTACAGCAGAGCCTGCCTTTTGACATTAAAAGGCTTCTTAACTGAAGATACCTAAATGGGGACATTCAGGAAGAACTTTTTTAAAAGTACAGTGTAGAAACTGCAGAATGAGGATTAGTGGCCTGTGCTCTACAAATTGGGAAGAATTCTATTGCTAAAAAAAAATCCAAGAAGATACCTTTGGGGAAAAAAAGCAAACAGAATTCTGCAGAGGCAGAGGATTTATTGTCTTATTATGTAGACAACTAAAGTGATACACTGCTAGTATGATTTTATGATTTAATACAATTTGTTAAGATTGCAGACATTTTACAGAAGCAGTGAAGTGCAGGCTATGGATTACATCTTCAGCGCTCAACATAAAGTATGCCCATGAATTGCTGTTTTTTTAAGGAAATTTGTTGAAATACTGCTTTACAAATTCTGCTCAATTTCTTCTTTCGTAGTCTCATTATACCACTTAGATGACTAATTAGTAATGTTCACTTTGTAGCTGAAAGGTGGAGGAAAGCCATTTCACCATTCTGCACTTCTTTGAAGGTGCTATAGTTGTGGAAGAGTATGACCACCAGTTCTTAAAAAGCTACACAGATCTTTTTTTGTTGTCCTTTTAATGTTTTCCTCCTGGTTTAATTTTATTGAAATAAATTGGCTACATAGAAGGAAGGTACTGAAGTTTAGTCAGATCCATCTCATTTTTTTTAGTGTATTGATCTGGGATGGGAAAGAGATATAACAGTGTGTAATATGTATTTATCATCCAAAGGCAACCTGACTCAGTGCAGCTATGCTTTGTGTCTTTTATAGTTCAGTTAATATTCCAAACATGAAACAATACAAAAATACATTTACTGTACACATGGTACATAATTTACTGTGTGTTTTAAGATTTAATTAGTGATTCATAAAACAGAGTGATTGAGGTTATGTGCTGTCTTTCACTAGGAGAAACTAGTCTTAAGGTTACTAAAAATAAATGTGTGTGGTTTGTCAAATTATCGATCATGAATCAAGCATAATTTGTCATTATTTTTCAGTGGACATATTTCTCTTTAGGCTATCAGATGGTTACAGTGCACTTTTATGTAGTATAAAGTAAGTTTTAGAGTTTTGTAATTCAGAACTTGTATACAAGTCAGAAAATTCTGTAAATTATAGAGGTCTAGAAAGTCTACATAATTTTCTAGAAGATAGCTAATACGTGAATGTTGTCTTCTAAGGATGTATTCAAACTGCTAAATGTGCTGATTGAACTGTTTTACAGGAGTTTCTGAGAGACATCTTCAATCTTCTGTTCTTGCTGCCAAGTTTGAAAGATAGACAACAGCCAAAATGCAAGTCACATTCTTCAAGGGCTGCTGCTTATGACTTGTTGGTAGAAATGGTGAAGGGGTCTGTGGAAAACTACAGGCTGCTCCACAACTGGGTTATGGCACAACATATGCAGTGTAAGAACCTTTATTCATATGTAGCTTTTGAGTATTTAGTGGAAAACTAGTCTATTTGCCTTTTCTGTTCATTTTGGTTTTGGTTTGAATTTTTGGATTTATAAAGGTCAGTGAAGAAAATAGGAATGTACTTGTAATACAGACTGCATTCTGAAGACTGTGTGCTTATGATGGTTCACCATTGTGAACTGTACTGCAATAATGGAGTTTCCGTTTCCTCCTGAGATGCGTCAGAAGTGTCTGCGTTTAATGACTTTCTACAACTAATGGTCTGTTAAGAATGCATAGGTAGAAACAGGGAACTGCAAAAGTGATGCAGAATATTTTTAGACTTAAACCGAATAGTCCCACTTTCCAAAAGCAGTAATGAGGTAAGACATAGTTACTGCTAACACTGCTCTTAAAATTCCAGTTTGTAGCTCTACTACTTATCCAGCATCACTTACGATAGTGTCACAGAGCAGTTATAGGCATCTTTTGGCCACCTAGAGCAAATTAGTGGATTTAATCACATGTATAATTTTCAGATAAACTGTTCTTAAATATGGGTTATTTAAAGCATGTGGTCCTGTTAAATGGCAGTGACACATAGATAATATTGTTAGAGTGGATTTTACATGTTTCATTGGCTTGTGCTGGATTTTAATTTCTGATTTCCTTTTCTGACATAAAGAAACATGGTATGCTTGTACGTAAACCAAAGTATATACACCACACTGAGCTACTGTAGATGGATGGGCTATTAACAGCACTGTCATGTTTTCAGAGTCTCTAATATCTGTGTAGTTGACGTCTGTGTAGAGTGCTAATACAATTTTGTTATGCCGGTTGGCTTCCATGCTTCCTGTATTTTGGAAACTCAATTCAAATTTTAGTAATTTACGTATTATACATAGGAAGTTAATATTTTATCTTTGATTTGTGCATTCTCATTATTCATATTTAGCTTGATAGATTTTGTTTCACATGCCCAGTTTAAATTCCTGTAACATGAGGATCTGTAATTTATTATAATCTATGGAATTGATTTAGTGCCATACCATTCAGGAAGCAAAAGAGAAATCTGATTGTAATAATGTTTTGTTTTCTGTACTCATATGCCTGGGGCCTTCTGAAAAAGCCTCCAAAGTCAGTCCTAAGTTCAGTGAAAATGTTCTGAAGAATATGTTTTATGATAATAGCAGATATTTCTGTTTGCTATGAGTACATCTTCTGCTGCTGAGTTTGTATCTCTCTAGGTGCAATTGTTAATTTTTTACACTTAGTATTTTTCTCACTCCCAATCCCAGTAATTTCTAGGTGCTGAAGTTTTCTGTAGCATTTACCACAGCTGTTACTTTCTTCCAAATAGTCCTCTCTAGATTGTTTGTTCGTTCCTGAGTTCTCCAGAGCCACCTGGTCTGTGCTCCTGCTCCATATTCAGTGTATCTCAGTTTCATGAATGTTAATTTTATTACAACTGGCAGAGTGCCATTGCCTGTTTCTGATGTGCAATTGACACAGGACTTCTGATACCTCATTTGTTTAAAGTCTTGTTATTCTATTGATGTGATCCAAAGTTTCTTAAAACTCTCTTAGACTTGTCTCTCTGTTCTTCTTAGGAGAAGCATTAAGGAAAATATTAATTTCCATCCTCTCTGGTTTTAATGTTTTAGTTTTGTGGTTCATTGGAGAAATTTTTGATCCTGCCACTTGTACAGTTGTTGTCCTGTAGTCTCACCAATTGCTGTCTCTGCTATTCTACCATTTTTTCTCACACTCCTAAGTGATTGAAATCAGAATGCTCTTAAGACATGGCTTTAGTGCAGCAAACTAAAGCAAAATTTTCAAAAAGAAAACAACTTATTAAAGGATATCTAGTATATTTTCCTTGGGATAGGAAAAAAAAGAATTTAGGATTCTAATTAAAATGCTGTTACTAAGACTCTATTCTGGCAGTCATATTAAAATGTGTAACTGTATCCTGTTCTTCAGACTTACACTAGTATGAATAATGTAAAGTAGTTGTAGTAAAGTTTTAACTGCAGCAGCATTTTTCTTTAAAATTTCCACTAATATAGCTCCCTTCATTGATGGATAGAAGAGAATTACTTGCTTGCTTTTTTCTTTCACAGATACTTCTCTACTTGCTTTTCTCAATTTAATGCAGACTCTGATCTTACCTAAGAATTTAGATACCCTCTGTTGTTCATAAAGTCTCTTCCAGTGTTCTGAAGTTTTGCTTTCTTTAAAAACCAAGAGTAATAAAAACATTTGTTGTCCCAAAAGTGGGATCATTTACCCAGTGTGCGAAATGCCAGTATACACACAGAGTCAAGGTATTTTATTTATTTGTTATTTTGCGCAAGGTAGGGTGCTAGGTGGTAGCTCCACGAAGCTACCACACATTTGTTCTGTATACATTGGATTATATACATTTCAGAGAACAAAGAAATTACTTGTCATTGGTCCAAAGTTGCTAAGCGATGTTATAAATGAGTACTGTATCTTCTGTTGGTCAAATTGTCCTCATTTGCTATGTAAATTAGCACATATGTTCAAGGGGCACGAGTCTTTTTGGTCCTGAATTGAGTTGGTGGTCATGGTCTCCTCCTGCCACCTTTCTCTTTCCCAGTTATTACAGAGAACTGCTGACTTCCTGCCTCTTTTGGTCATGATCCAACTTTCGGTGTCTGCTGGTTCCTCTTTGTCAATCTTCTACCTCTCCTTCAAGGTTAATGTGGTTAGCAAAAGACTGCATCACTTGTACAAAACCTCATTGTTAGATTCCATTTTATAAGTAACTTCTGCCTAATTCTATTTTGCAAGCCAGCTACAGTGGAAAATTCCATCCTTGCTATACATCACAGTCGTTCAAAGGAGGGAAACAAGACCAGCTGCTTTGCTTTCTAGGAAGTTTAAGATAGTTTCTGACAATTATGTTTGGAGTAGAAGCGTGATCGGAAGGTGGAATACAGAGAAATGCACGGTCATTTGAAGAGGAAGAAATTCAGTTTTATTTTGCTTGAAATAGAACATGAATATTGCAAGTTTGCTTACAAATTTCCCTCTCTTTCTGAGAAAAGACTTTTCTATGACAGTGAGAAATAAAGAAGATAGACATAAATGAGGCCCAAATTTAGCTTTCTAGTTAAGATCCATCTGAAGGATGGAAGGCTTTTATTATCAAAATGGAGACAGTCACTTAAAAATCATAGGGTGGAGAAGGATCTTCCTTAGAAATTCCTTGTCAGATTTCTGAAAGACCTTTGTCAGATTGAAGTAGGAGGGAGATACTCCCAACTGTTCTCATGAAGTATAAAGAAGTCATCTGCTTGCTTTGTAATTACAACTTGATGAGCTGTAAGCAGAGTGATAGATGCTGAGTCCTGATGTCAGAAAGGGTAAATTAAGATGTTGCAATTTTAGGATTTCGGTTAAGGGAGGGAATTCTGTCTTCTTCTGTCATGCTAATTACTTTTTTAGGCGGTTAAACATGGAGTAGAGCTTTGTTTCAACTGGCTGATCTGCCCGGTGTAACCAGGTAACATGAGGTCACGCTACTGAGATTTTTTTGAAGCAGGAGAGTTAAAACTCTTTCCTTCCCTACTTGAAGCTGCAGGGCTAATAGTTGTTTTGATGCTGATGCCAAAATGAAGATTACAACAATTATTTGTCGTGCAACAGAACGTCTTGTGGGTCTGGTCTCTGAAGGTGTGAAGATCTGTTCAGAGGGTGCCAAATAGCTTCCTGAATTTGTAGTTGGTAGTATGAATTGAGAGGAATCCTTAATGAGCCTGTAATCTTTGACAAAATAATTAAGGATTTAATATTTAAATCTTGAACCCATGTAGCTTTTGTGGATTGTAAAATAAATCCCAACTATGTTTTTGGTTTTTTTTGCCTATATATCTGAGCCTATAGTGCAATAGAGGTGCTGAATTATTTGTAGGACACTCTGTTTTTGGAGAATTGTATCCTTGGGGATGAATAGCAAAGCTAGATGCATTGCAAGTTTTTGTGTCAAACTTGCATACCAAGGAAGATAGGCTGCAGTGAGTTTCTTTGGACACTGGATTAGTTCCTCTGTAATTTAGTGCTCGTGTCATCTAGTTGCCTCTGCAGCTTAGATGATTAATTCTCCATTCTATTCTGCTGTGTGGGATGCTAGAAGAGGAAGCCTGTCAGTGTCTAGAAGCAGGACTAATCACTTACAAATGGTTTGTCTAGTCTGGTTACCGTCTTCTTGACTGGCAGATGAGGAGAACTTATCCATTCTTCCCATTTCTTGGCAGCCGTATCAGGACAAGGCTTATTAAGAAGAGTCCGTCAGACTTGCCTAACTTGTCTAGTGCCATGCTCTGTAAGAAGTAGATTGCTACATCTGGTATGAAATATAGAGCAATAGAGAACTTACAGGAAAATTAAATGTCTTTTCAGTCTGATTCTCTAGACAATTCACTTCTTGCTTGCCCCTATTTTTCTTGTAGATTGCAGATTTCTTTGGTATACATGGCTTTGAAGTGTAGTAAAAAACATTTATTCTCTTCCTATAAAAACTGTTCCCAAATTTATTCAAGCTTGTGTATAGCCAACTACTTTATTTCACTGCACTTCTGTGTCTTAGCTCTGTTAAGTATCTAACCATCTTTTTTTCTGGTTAAAAATATCTTTTGCTAGCCTGGCATCCATTATAGTAGATGTCATTCTGAAACTAGCTTCTCATCTGTAAAGAGAGGTCTCACTTCATGTGTGGTTATCTCTGATGCCAAATCTATGTTCTGTTACGTGAAGAGAAGGCTCCCTATCTTGAGTCTCTGGGTGCTTTGCTTTGCTTTGCTTTGCTTTCTTGCAGTGTGACACTGGGGTGCATAGGAATGGGTAGTAGAAATTATGAGTAATTTTTGTGCAAACCCCTTTCTTATGTATAAAAAATGCATAGCAGCCCATGTTTACAATTTGTGTGCGCTCTTGATGACAAAAACACTATGTGATTTTACCAAACTTTAGTTTAAGTAGAGTCTGGAAGACCATTACTACGTGTAATACTACCACTACAAGAGGTGTAAGAGATGATGCTTGCCATGAATAATGCTTTGGAGAGCATAGCAAATCGCTTGCAGCCCAAAGTTACATAGCATCTAGAAAGGCTTGCTGCTATATCCAGTGATTTTCCTGATGTACCTATAGTGCATTTTCTTAAAGAGCAGGTACAGTCGGGCTCATGTCTGTAAATGTAGAATGCATAAACAGCATATATTTCATTAATGTAAGCGTAAAGCTTTTAATTGTATTTGTCTTTGTAAATTATACTTTGAATTGATTTTTTTCTCCATGTGTGGCTTATTTTTTCCAGCTTCCCATGCACCTTACAAGTGGGATTATTGGCCACATGATGATGTTCGTGCTGAATGTAGATTTGTAGGACTAACCAATCTTGGAGCAACATGTTACTTGGCATCCACTATTCAGCAGCTGTACATGATACCAGAGGCCAGACAAGCAATCTTTACTGCAAAGGTATGCTTTGAGGTCTTAATGTTCCTTGTGTGGATTTTGGTAGAATTTTAAATTTAGAATTAGTGCAAATGCCAAGAAAGTATTGACTTAATTTTAAGATTTATTTCTTGATAAAGAATATTTCTTCTGGACTTCCATTTGCTTTTTGTTCAGTTGGATTCTTTTGCCAATGTCTGAAGAGAAAATATTCTTTCTTTTAATATATTTCTAATGCAGTAGGTTCTTAAGGTGGCATTGTGATAAAACATTCTCAAACTCATATTTCTGTTGCTATCAACTAGATTTATTCAAGTGTGGCTTTATTTGAATTGGCTGTTGTTTTTTAACTCCTAATTTGTCGTCTTGTTAGAATAAATGTCATTCTTCTTGAATGTTTATAAAGTCCCGGAGCATGTATCTCATGCTACCAGAAGTACAGCAAGTCTTGTAAATTGTTATAGATTGTCTAACTTTCAGAAATATTACAATATTACTTCTAGCTACTTATTGTAAAGAGAAAGCTTCGTTTTGGTCCTTGACATCAACAGGGCATATATAATGTGTGAAACAACTAATTAGCAGTGGCCTCCTTATTTTTTGTCGTTATCAGTAGTTGTTACTTAACTTCATCTAGAAATAGCTATTTATACCTAAAAATAAAACAGGGAAGCTGCTGGTCTGCACATTAAATGCATTATGTAGAGGGTTCATCAGAACTCCCACAACATCTATGAATTGAAAAAAAAATTTCAAAATTACTACAGTCTTTCGTAGTACGTTCCCAAAAACTCCTAGCTGCAGTAATTTTTTAGAAAATAGATGTTGACATGCAAAAAATGGAGTAGGTTGTCCTTAATATGTAAGTGGAAAATAGTGTACTGTGTGTTCTTGTACACAATAATTTTTCTTAATTGTCCATAATAAAGAGGTTGTTTGTTTATCTAAAAAGTTGATTGTTTCATCTTTTTAAGGGCTGTTTTTGGAATGTTATAAGCAAAATATAAAGTCTTCTTTTATTAATTTCTTTTAGTATTCAGAAGATATGAAACACAAGACTACTCTACTAGAACTCCAGAAAATGTTTACATACTTAATGGTAGGTGCGAAAGAGGATATTTTATAAAGTATCCTATTTTGGGAAAAAAAAAAAAAAGGCAAGAAAAATGTAGTTACCATTCTATGTGTAAATTATTGGCAGCTTAAGTCCATTGTGCCTAAGTTTTGTAAATGAATGTCTTAACTGAAATAGTTTTTACCCACTTTAAAGCTGTTATTCAGGAAATCGGTTAAGGAAACATTGTCATAATAGTTTTCAAGAAGAGGTAGTGTAAATCCTAATCTAAGATAGGGTTTATTATTGGGCACCAACTGTCATGAGCAAGCACCAGCTCTCAAACATTAGTGATTGTCTACTGTGTTCTTAAAAAATGTTTGTGAAGTGAATAGATGGGAATATCAGGCTCAGGTGCCACAGTCTGAGAGTCCTTCATTTGTTTAAATGTTTTACCCCCAGCACATTACCATTCTGGGAGCATAGGGTGTTTATCATAGACTGAGTTAGAAGAATGAAAAGCAAGCCTGCTTTTTAGTTACAGTTGTAGCATAGCTGAGTATGAGGGCTGTGCTCTGTATGGACACCCTGTGCGCTTACCTTGCTAAATCTCTGAGTGGCCCAAGAGCTCCCTGGCCAGGCATATCCTTGGATACAGTAATGGAACAGCTTGAAACAATGGACCAATTTGAAACTGAGTAATTGACTGTACCTTCCCAATGAAGTGTTTGACTAATTGTTACAGGAGCCCTCCAGGTGGGAATTTGGGACAGTTCTGCTAATTGCCTCTGCTGTGTCCAGTTGAATTTCCAGATTGAATTTTATAAATGGTCAATAGAAACTGTTCCTGCGGAAATGACTGAATGGGACAGTCTTTTGTATGGATTTAAGATATTTAAGAGATACTTTGTACCTAGTTTAGGGGAATCAATAGTAATTAATTACACAGATGCTGGGGAGGTCACATAGTACTTTTACCAGCTGGGTTTTTAGCAAAATGATCATTTGAGGAGTCTCTGCAGGTCTAAGTGAAGATACCACTGTAAGGACCCTAGCAACAGACTCCCATCACCACCAAACACCAACCTGGCTGTCCCATTAGGGTGTTTTGATTCCATATATGAGCACCCTGCCAAGATCCCAATAAATTATTTTTTCTTTTTAACAAACACTCTGCCATGAGTCTCTGTCTAACACCGCTGTCATTCTTCTTGTTTCACATGAACCTTGATGAGGTTCTGAGCTTGATTCTTCATATAATCATGGAAGAATTTGTTTGCCCCAGTTTCCCTGGTGATAAAATAAAAGATATTATTTTTGTTCATTTCATTTTCCTTGCTCCAGTATTTTAAAGGTTAATCTGTGGAAATAAAGCATTAAAAAGCAACTAACGATTTTGAAATTCCAGAATCAAACAAAATTGAGGCAATTCGTAGGTGTTCACTGTTGTTAAAATAGCAAAACATTTCTGAAATAATGAAAAAAGAAAACTGAGGAGAGCTGAGTGTTTTTTTTCTTGGCACTGGCTTTTGTGAAAGAGATTCCTAACCACTTTGAAGACAAATAGAGGAAAGGAATTCAGGCATGTAGTGCCTGCCATGAATCATAGAAAAAAATAGATGTAGGTATTTACATAAGCATAAAATAATATAGGAACATAAAATCATGTGAAGATTAATACCATACCATTAAAAACTTGAAGAAAGACTTTCTTCCAAAAAGGGTAATATTTACAGGAAGGGCTGTCTTGCCACACATCCTTAAAAGAAAGCAGTATGTATATCATTGCTTACAAAGTTCTTTCTGCTATAAATAAGTTCTGCATTCCCAGTGTGCAAGGCAGTAGAGTGGACGATGTATTCTGAAGAATTGCTTTATACTGCAAATTATTTTTTCAGAGTGAACACATGCAGTTGAGAGCTAGATGATACAGTTTTATACCATAGAGAAGTCTCAGTGAGAATTAAGTACTTGTCAAGATTTAAGTCAGTAATGCCCAGAAATACAGAAATATAGGCTGATATTCCTCATATATTTTGTATCTAAACAGATATGTAGAAATTGAATGTGTCACATCTTCAGCTGTTTTATTTTAATGATTCATTTTATAAGTATTTATTAAATTTTATTTAATAATATTTTACTAATGATAGTTTAACAATTAATATCATAATAGTGATAATCAGGTATCAACTGCTTTACATTTAATGAGAAGCATTTAAGCACTTAAACAACTTTGTTGCCTACTAGGCGTATGGAGATATTGTATGTAAAAGTATGTCCTTTTTAAAATAGACATTTGTGTATCTATGTTCAGTATATCTGTGTAATTTAAAAATGTGTTGATTTGTTTTGCTTGATATTTTTTTTTTTTACCTAAAGGAAAGTGAATGTAAGGCATACAATCCAAGGCCTTTTTGTAAAACCTATACCATGGATAAGCAGCCACTGAACACTGGAGAGCAGAAAGATATGACTGAATTCTTCACTGACCTAATAACAAAAATAGAAGAAATGTCTCCAGAGCTGGTGAGTTATTAAGAGGGAATGAAAGGGAGCTTGAAAATTTATGGATTTGCTCAAATTTCCTTGACAGAGTTTATTAATTCATTCACAGAAAAATACAGTTAAAAGTTTGTTTGGAGGTGTTATCACAAACAATGTTGTTTCTTTGGTAAGTGTTCCTTCCCTATCCTCATCTTTTCAAGATTTTTTTTTAACTTCTCAGAAACACTTATTTCATTGCCTTTCTGTTTCATTGCTGTGATTTAGGACTGTGAGCATGTAAGTCAGACTGCTGAAGAGTTCTATACAGTAAGATGCCAGGTGGCAGATATGAAGAATATTTATGTAAGTAATGCCAGCCTGAGATGTGTAGTGTAGATCACAATTAGAAATGAGTGCAGTCAAGTATAAGAGACTGTACCGTACACTGTTTAATATGTTGATGCTTTCTGTATCTGTACTCTAGTTTTGGTGTATTTCTAGGTTGATATTACTAGGTCATTTGGTCGAATTGCTTCATCTTTTCAATGGAACGTGCTGTTAGGTGGTGCCGTAAGACTGTGTTACAGTCAGTAATCACTTTCTCCCTTCTGTGTTTTAAAAAAGCTCTGGCCATGTTTTATATGAGAAATTTTTAAATGTCAAAAGATTTGATATATACATGCACTATTGCTTATTCAGATAATTCAAAACTTACACCAAAGTAATTTTAGGTTTTGGAGTTTTTTAAACAACTGTTAATCCCCACACTTGGAATTTGAATTTCAGGCTCTCGAATTCCTTGGGGCAGCTTGGAATATTGAGTGTCATTTTTCTGAATTGTTTCCTTAATTTTTCGTTTGTGTTAGGAACTGGTTTTCCTGTGAGACTTTTCTCTTAGTTCAGGTGCATGCTCTTTCTGCAAAATTTATGGTGTCTTTGACCACCTTACTCTCATAATTTGTGGAAATGTTAATTAAACTTACTGTAAGATTGAAAGAGAGGGGTTTGTAAAGCAGGCCATGCAAGCACAAGATATAAATATCTAAGATAAACGTACGCTCCTTCCTTTTTTCTCTTTTTCTCCTTTTTTTTTTTTTTTGTTTATTATACGTAGGAATCTCTTGATGAAGTAACTATTAAAGATACTTTGGAAGGTGACAACATGTATACATGTTCACATTGTGGGAAAAAAGTGCGGGCTGAAAAAAGGTATGATTAAGAAGAAATAAACATTTCTAATGTTTCTTTTTAGTAGGTTACTGAAATTACTATTGGAATAAGAGTATTCCTTTAGATGAAGTAGGACTGTGGTTTCATTTGGGTTGCTACTGTGTGGGTCTGTGAGGATGTGGTCCCTGTGCAAATGAGCACATAACTAAGAAATCAATTTTCCAAAACAAAGAATATAAGGTATCTTAGCAAAAGATCACCTAGACAGTAGAATATTCATGACATTTTTAAAATCTAAATAAAAATAAATTTGTAGAAATTACTGCCTTTTGAAATCTGTTACTTGTCCCATTTTTAAAAGATCAAATTCTTTTAGAGGTTGTTCAGTCCTTGTGTTATTCATTAAGCAGGATAATTGCTTAGGTTTCATACATAACCCCAAAATTCTTAATTAAAATTTGTAGTTTTAAAAATGTTTCCATACTTTAAAAAAATCTGCTAATAAAGAGAAAGCTAAATAAAAATTTTGTCTTTGCATTGCCACTAACAAATTTCTTTTTTAGAGATCAAAAACCCCATAGTTGTTTTTCTAGCTGTTAAAATGACTACTTTAAAAGCATTATTGTGAAGTTTATGAGATTTAATGCAAGAGATCTGCATTGAAACTTGTCAGTTACGAGATAGTAACTCTGTCTAATAAGGGGATTTGCATTGTTAAATTCGTTCATGACTCATTTTACAATACCGTTTTAGAAAACTGTGATTCATGCCAGATGAGTACATTTGATGTTTCTTTCAAGACACGATAGGCTAAATAGAATTGTTCAATAGGCTAAATTTGACCTTTCTGCTGCCAGTTAGACTACCCTGCTATAGGGCATTACAACAGCTGAATTTTACATTTGTGTGACTTAGCAACAGATTTCCAATGTCATGTTTGAAGTAAATGTGTTTAAAATCTTTGTGAAAATACCATTCTGCCTACTAAGCTCTTGTAAATCATTATTATTTCTAATCCTTCAGGGCATGTTTTAAGAAACTACCTCGTATCTTAAGCTTCAACACAATGAGATATACATTTAATATGGTAACCATGATGAAGGAGAAAGTCAATACACATTTTTCGTTCCCTTTACGTTTGGATATGACACCTTACACTGAAGATTTCCTCATGGGGAAAAATGACAGAAAAGAAGGTATGCCTCATGAATTCAACAGGTGTTGTCTTTTTCATCTGCGTACCACTTTCTGCATACATAACATATGCAAACAATTTTAAGAAAATAAAATAAAACATAAGTTTTAGTCAACCTATATTCCCAAAGTCACATATTTTATTTAATATGAGAAAAAAATTATTTTTCTCTTCATTTACTGTTCCATTTGAATTATTGTTAAATTTGTTTTTAAAGTGTAAGAGAAATTACAAATAGTCACATACAGTTTGGCACTGGTGTATTTTGATTTTGCAGGGTAATACTTGAACAGCCAGCAAATGGCTGACTAACTGCTGTCATAAATAAGATGTACTAAGTTGGAATAACATAGTTGTTAGTCCTGAACTCTTCAGTAGTACAAAAAAAAGCTCTAGCAGTTTCACAAGTGTTGGGATCTATGCTGCTTGTTCTGGGTATGGAGTGGAGTGCTGAAAAAAGAAAAAAATTAAGTGCAACTACAGGAAATGTGTAATATTGAAGTTCAGGTGTTTAGGAAGTAACTGTGATTAAATATTGTATTAAATTATTTCAGGTTTTAAGGAAGATGAATATTTGAAAGAAACTGAAAGTTATGAATATGATCTGATAGGCGTAACGGTTCATACAGGAACAGCAGATGGTGGACATTACTACAGTTTTATCAGAGATATAGTCAATCCCCATGCTTACAAAAACAACAAATGGTGAGTTAAGCAAAACAAAATTTTATAAATCCTTACGTTTATATAACTAGAACTTGTTGACTTTGTCAGATGCAGTTGTATAGGAAATATGTGCTGTAGGTTCCCCTCAAAAGCACAAGATGTTGGAATTTGATAGGTGGAAGGATATTAATTTATTGGCATACAGTGTTGCTTATTACAGTTGTAATAGTCATGGAGTGCCTTGGACACAGGGACAGCAGGAGAATGCCATGCTGGCCTCACATTACAGCCAGTGCTTGTTTCTTGGCATAAATATCAATGATTTTGTTTTATTTGTAGAAATGAATAGTAAGATTTAATAGGTTGTCCTTCATAAAATCTGTTGTTACCTTTGATGAGCGTACAGCTACATTTATGATTGTGGAATTTGGTCCTTTTAATTTCGTCCATTTTCCGTGAAATAACAATTTGAATTTTTCTTCATTTTAAACTTGTTGCATCCTGTGTGGAAGAAATTATGTTACAATACCTAGCTTATCTAAGTCTTTTCTTGCTGTGCTTTTTATGTGTGGAATTGTTTTCACATTTGATTCTTAAGTTTATGTAGCTGGTGATCTTTTCCTATTGGCCAGCTCCTCCTAGATGCAATTTACAGTGACATAGTGGAATATTTGACTTTTTTTTTTTCTGTCCCTTATTTTCAAAGATTAAAAAAAAGAGACGGGATCTTCTAACACATAAGTGATAGATGAATAAATGCTATGCGCTATTTTCTTTTTTATTTTTTTTTTCTTTTACTAAGACATCCCGTTTCTAATTGGAAACTTCTGCATACATTGGGCATATCACAGTTGTGAAGAGGAAGAAAAAGTTGGTGGAAGTAGCCTGGGAAAGGGACATTCTTTGCCTGTCATTTCTGTCAATCTCAGATTCTCGGTTGAGGCCCTGGAAGAGGAGACAAGATTTCCATTATTCGTGTTCTTTAGAATAGCTAGCTGGAATATTTTTGACACACTCCCAACTTGTGACCCAGTCCCTGCTCCAAAGAGAACCCATAACAGTGTACCATATTCTCTGCCTCCTTCCAGTTTCAGTTCTACTGTTACATGGAATGATTCTCCTCTTTTTAATTCTGAAGTCCATTTCACTCAAATTGGAAAGGGAAAGGCAAATCTTCATTAAAATCCTATCTGTACCAGAGTCAGGCTGGAAAAATGAGGAAAATAATGCGTCTTTTGATAGAAAGAAAAAACAAGAATGGCTGAAATTCTGCCTTCCTGATCTTATTGAAAGGAAGTCACTGTTGGGATCAGTTTTTAGTTTGCTGTGATTCAAACAAGACATTAGAAATTAATAAGAATACTTAAATCTGAAGAATCATTTTAGGTGCCTGTTATGCTCTGTTTGGCCTTAGAGACAAACAGCAGTTGTTTCAAAAGCTTACTGTTTTACAGGTATCTTTTCAATGATGCTGAAGTAAAACCGTTTGATTCTGCCCAGCTTGCTTCAGAATGTTTTGGTGGAGAAATGACTGTAAGTTCTGACTTCTGTTTTTGTCATGGTCAAGTTTTACAATATCTGTTCTGGAGACTTTAGTGAAGGATTCCATGGTGGTCACCTTTGGTCTGCCGTATGTTGTGAATGTATATGAAACAGAAGTGTTAGCTGGGTTTTATTAAACTTTTGACATCGTTGAGTAGGTGATACTTTATCTTATGTTCATGTAGATAGATAGCTGTTCTTCCACCATTGATCTCTTCAAAGGGTCTCCCCCTCCTTTGGGGGATGAAAGACTTGGAGACTGCTTGCAAGCGGGTCATGTAAGCTTTCTAGTTTTTCTACATTTACTGTAGAACAGAAGTAAAAATTATCAAGGAGAAGGGTTATAGTTTCTCCTTTACCAACTATCATTATTTAATTAGTGACTACAAATCCAAATACTTTTATGTGGTTTTAAAAGGCAGGTATCAGAAGTATAGCATGGGTATTAATAATGAATCAAAATGAATCAATGAAGTCTCTCTCCAAAGAAGAGGTATTTCTTCACTATATATGTTTTTAATCATCATATTATTTATTTACTTATTAAAAGGGGAGTATGCAACTAATTTAGGAATCCTTCTATTGGATGGCTTTGTTGCTCAGACTATTGACTGAAGGAATAATTACTTTAAGCTTATGCCTATTCTGGAAAAAACGGGGGGTTTTGATCTTTGTTTGTGCCTTGTGTCAGTAATTGCCCAGTTCTGGTCTATGAATCTCTTGTGGTCAGATCCTTTTTCACTGGTGGCAGAACTGAACTAAAAACCTGCCAGATTGGTATACAGCT